AATTCTATCTTCTAAAGTGAGTTTAGCATTTATTGTTCGGCAGATCTGCATGGGCTGCATGGGACGTTTTGTAAGGATTCAATTAGCTTGTGTTGTGAGTTAACACTATTTGCATGGAAATGAAACATTCAACAAAGTATTGAATGAAAACAAACTAATTAGTTTTTTGAACAGCACCTGACTTTCATAGGGCCCAATGGTGCTGTTGGATAAATGTCTGCATGACTGGTGCCCCTTTCTTAGAGCTGGCCAGCATTTTTCTGTCTATGAGTATATGAGACAAACAAGAAAACAAAAATCTCCCCAGTCCCACTATAGCTCCTTAAAATGTTACTAAGCCAATTTAATAAAATTTGCCCTGCATCCCTGTCCTTCCAACCTCTGCATTCCTTTTGCTGCCTTCTGTTTCTTTGATACACAAAATGTTCTTTTATTTTTGCTGTTAGGGACTTACATTACTTCTCTTCCTCTATTATTTCGTGTTCTGTTTAAAAAAAGAAGACTCCTACTTTCTAGTATCCCCCTATGATCCTCCATGCACTATTCTCTGTACTGTAGGAATCACCATGGCAGCAGAGTGGCTGCCAATAAGCTGCTCTCTCCTTTTTCCTTACAAGTGACCTCCAAATTGCTGACCAGAGAGAGAAAATAAGTTACGACAAAAAATGGGCTGGCACAGGTTAGTTCCCTGCTGGGGTTCCTGGGAGCAGCACAGTTGTACTTAGCCCTTCCCTTAGGGAAGATGAGCAGGTGCCAACATTCTCCACAATGGATAGCATAGCAGAATAAATAAAGCCAAAATATTTTTTCAACCACCATAAACTACTTGAATAAAAAACCAACCAACTAAACAAAATTTCATCTTCTGATCAAATTTTGCTCAGGTTCAATCCCACAGTGTTTCTAACAGGTTTGTCCATTCTTTTTTTCCCCCTCTCCCCATGTGTTTGTTCAAAAGCTTTTTGTTCACAAAAGCTCTCACAAACACAGTGTGCTGGTTTAAAAGTTAACCAGCAAGGGAAAATGAACTCAATTCAAAAGAGAGATTTATAAGTCAGAATAACAATTTATTAAAATAATGCAATAAGTACAATTATACAGACAGACAATTGGTTTTAACCCACAAAACCCAAATGTACAACCCAGCACCCTAGGGTATGAACAAGAGTGGTGTACCTTGGCCCACCCCCGAGTCCAAAGCAAAGGGAGAGGGGATAAACCTGCTGGTGGGAGAGCTGCTGCAGTCTGGTCAGAAGTGGTGATTGCAGTCCAGTCGAGGGTGGTGGTCTCAGTCTGGTTGAACGCAGTGGTCTGCAGTATTCCTCTGGATCCCACGAGAGGTGGCAAGGCTCTGAAACTCCCAGTTATATACTCTCCAGTTCAGGCGGGAGTGCTCAGTCCCTCCCTCAGAGTAGGGAATTCCATAAAAGGGCATGCGGATGCTCAGTCCCTCTTCCATATAAGGGTATCAGAGCGGGGAATTCCATATAAGGGTATCAGAGCGGGGAATTCCATAAAAGGGTACAGGAACATCTTCCCACCTTGCAGGCTTCTACTGACAGCAGTTTTTGGGAAATGGCATGGAGGCTATAGAATACGCAGTTTTGGGTTACACTCATCCAGGGATGAATTGGTCCCAGCCGTTCTAACCAGGACACACAGGTGCATTTATTCTGGGGGAAATTGTCATGCTGGATTTGGCTGCTCTGTAATTTTTTTTACTATCTTTCATCTGTAAATGCTTCTATCTTACAATGAGGAAATAGCTACAACATGGTAACTAATGAAGTAATTGCAATAACTGTATTAACTTAACTACTGCAGAAGGTTTGTGGCCTCATCTGAACAGGCATCTTTTGCACATATGAAGTTTGTTTTACTTCTTCATGATTCTTTATAGATGGTATCTGAGTGTGGAAGAAAAAAGCCCTATAAAAAGACATAGCTGTCCACTGACAGACCTGACCTAAGGCAGACCTGCAGCTGCCACCTGACTCCACATAATCAAAGATGTGTCCACCTTGGAGGCCTTCCCAGAAGATTTTGCCATTGCTACAGAAATCTCTTGAACACAATAATGCGTGCAATAACTGCAAAGGAAAAGGAAATTTGCTATAAATTTGTGTATTTGAAGGTATCCAGTGATTTGATTTAGAAAAAACCTGATTTTTCAGCTCTCAGCTGAGCTATTGAGTCCTCTAACAAGACACTACCCACAGCCAGTTCAGCTACTACTGCTTAGCTGATGGCAGGAAACTGGATGACTTCATGTACTGTGCTTATGCTTACATGTAACCCATATAGCAATTATCAGCTGTCCTGACTGGAAGAAAATGATTCCTCCATTCATTTGGTAAACTAAGATAAAGCAAGAATCCATTTTTTCCTAAAGGGTAGTGAACAGTGTTTTTATATTTTCCACAATACACTGATGTTATAATACTCCTTCTGAACTGGTTACCATTTTAACCTAGCCTAAGAATGCTGTAAGCATCCCTCCAGTATAAAGATAACGGCTGTAGTGTGGCTGAATTAAATATCAAGTCTTTGGTGGAAGAGTCAGTCCTTTTTGCTATGCTGTTTCTTGCTGCAAACTGTGAGAAATACTCCAAAGCCTGGCCACTGCCAGGATAGTAGGCAGAAACATCTGTGGGTGAGTTATTCCAGCAAGTGTGCAGCAGCTCAGCCAGCTGCCAAACAAGCTACCCACAAGTTGTTTGACTTTGGGTGGTGTCAGAAGACTGACTGGGGAAACAGAGCTCATAGCACAATGGAGAAGTTTGCTTTCTTATTATTGTTCTCACTCTCTCTTATTATTTGCACTTATTTTATCTCATCTCTCAGTGTGTGAATGGTCTGTTATGTAATTGCTGTAATACTTAGCAGCACCACAATAATACTTGGTCCATTTTCTGAGATGGAAATCCCCTCAGTTCTTAAAAACAACTGAGTCAGTATATTTTGCATGAGAGTTATAAGGGATAAATAAGCAGCTGTAAAGCATAGGGTGCCCTTTCATATCTATCGTGTCCATGCAGGGTCTAGGATATCTGTGTTATTCTGGAAAAGCAGGCAAACTCTCTCTTGATTCTTTCTCTTGGTGAGCCCTACCATCAAATCCAAGATCTTCTAGTTCTCTTTCAGAGTTAACTTGTTTTCATAATACTGCTAGTAAAAGTGGAATAAGGAATTAGGGGGGTTCACACTAGGAGGAATTTAAACCTTTTAAATTCATTACTAAATAACTGATTAAAATCATTCACTAAATAACTGATTCAATCATCATGGCTAGGCTTCGCGAACGAAGATTTGGGAAGGGCTCTACCCATTTTTCATGCAAGCGCGTTGGTGGCTAAAAAGGCCAATACGAGATAGACACGTCCGGTTGCAAAAGACACAGCAGAAAGACTCCTTAGATGGTATATTCTGCAAGGCTCGATTCTTTCTGCGTTGTCTTTTCTCCTCAAGAGTGATCCTGCGTGCCTTCTCAAAAGCATCAGCAGCGTTATAAATGGTCTGTCTCCAGGCCTCCCGATTGGAGGCCAGAGTAGACCAGTTATGGTGATCAATATGCCCGAGGCTGAGTTGTTGCTTCAGGGAGTCCTTGTATCTTTTCTTCGGAGCTCCTCTCTTGCGGCAGCCGGAGGCAAGTTCACCATAAAGCAGGATCTTAGGGAGGCGGTGGTCCTTCATCCTGGAGACGTGCCCTGCCCATCGCAGCTGTGTTCTCAGTAACATGGCCTCAATACTTGTGATTGCTGCCTGTTCAAGAACAGATGTATTGGTCACATAATCTGACCAGCGGATGTTCAGGATTGTACGGAGGCAGCGTTGATGGAAGCGTTCTAGGAGACGCAGGTGGTGGCGGTAGATGACCCATGATTCGGAACCATATAAAAGAGTAGACAGCACTATGGCTCTGTAAACACTGATCTTGGTACTTTTCTTCAAGTGTTTATTACGCCATACTCTTTTATGGAGTTTTCCAAAGGCACTATATGCCTTCGCTAACCTATTATCTATCTCCCCGTCGATCTTACCATCTGAAGAGATGAGGCTGCCTAAGTAATCAAACTGTTGGACTGATTTGAGTTCTGACTGGCCGATGGTGATGTGGGGATGATGGAGGACTTCCTGAGGTGCAGGTTGATGGAGAACTTCAGTCTTCTTTAAGCTGACTTCCAGCCCAAAGAGCTCAGCAGCATCTGCAAAGCAGGATGTTAAATGCTGCAGAGCTGCTTCTGTGTGGGCAACAAGGGCGGCGTCATCAGCGTAAAGCAGCTCCCGGACAAGATGGTTTAGGGTCTTGGTGTGGGCCTTCAGTCGCCTTAGGTTGAATAGGCTTCCATCAGTACGATATCGAATGTAGATACCGTCCTGATCATCGAGATCTGCCGAGGCCCTTTGGAGCATCATGCTGAAAAAGATTGTGAATAGGGTAGGAGCGAGAACGCAGCCTTGTTTCACACCATTCTTTATTAGAAAGGGCTCAGAAAGTGTGTTGCCATATCTGACTTGGCCATGCTGATCCTCATGAAGTGAGATGATCATTTTAAGGAACTTGGGGGGACAACCTAAACGTTCCAAAATCTGCCAAAGACCTTTTCTGCTCACAGTATCGAAAGCCTTGGTGAGATCGACAAAGGTTACATAGAGACCTTTGTTCTGTTCCCTACACTTCTCTTGCAGTTGTCTGAGAACAAATATCATGTCTGTGGTGCTCCTGTTGGCTCTGAAGCCACACTGACTTTCAGGTAGAATTTCTTCTGCTATAGCGGGTATTAGTCTGTTCAGGAGTATTCTTGCCAAGATTTTGCCAGCAATGGAGAGCAGAGTAATACCACGGTAATTTGAGCAGTCAGATTTAGTACCTTTCTTATACAAGGTGATGATGACTGCATCACGAAGGTCTGAAGGTAGTTCGTCTAGTTCCCAACAGCGCACCACAAGCTCATGAAATTTAGCATGGAGTGCAAGGCCCCCATGTTTCCAGACTTCGGGTGGAATTCCATCAACCCCAGCACATATACTAAAATTGGAACGATGCAGAGAAGATTAGCATGGCCCCTGCGCAAGGATGACACGCAAATTCGTGAAGCGTTCCATATTTAAATAACTGATTAATTACTAAATAATGGATACACTCTTAAATTGGCATTTTTTTAATGCTTCATGAATAAAAATTGACTTTTAAAATTTTTTTTTTTATTTTAAAGCATTCAACCTGCAAGGTCTTTTACACATATTTGTTTGTAGCCCTGATAAACAACTGAACATTTTACAACTGCTCACAGCTTCTCTCTTTCACTTGATTTTCTGAAAATAATAAGCAGAAAAGTCTCATTGTCCTGACAAGCTCATTCAGGCATGGGTTTCTGGCTGTAATTTGACATTATTAATTGGTGCATTCTGTTCTCACATGGGAAAGGACTGAAACAGAACTGGGGTACTTTCTTCATCAAGAAATAAGTCAGGTGAGAAAACATATGTCTAATCTATACGTTCTATTTATTTAGCAAGCTGGTGACTCAGTCCATGTTAATGAAGACCAAAAGGACTGTGAATAATGATCTGTTATTTTTATTTGGGATTTATAAAATCACCAAGACTACAGCTAGAAAATAAAGGGAAAATCAGAGGCTCGAATAATTTTGATTTTAAAAAGAATAAGAGATTATAGAGCTTATTTTGACTGCACTTAGAAGACAGCATGTTTCACAGCAGGGATTTTGATGCATTCTGTAGACTTAAATTTCTCCCAAGCTAATGAAAGTTGATGTAGTGTCCTTGCAGGTAGGGTTATTATATTGCTGTTTAAAATCCCACAGTAGAAAATTCTGGGAGGTTGAGCAGGGGCCTGTTAAATGTTTTATATGGTGGCTTAGGGAGTAGAGCTATTGCAAGAATACAAAGGAACTCCTTAACCTGAGCTGAGACCAGTGAAGAACTAATCAGAAGAGATTTTTGTGCCACAGGCACTCATGAAAACAAGGCATGTGGAAGAGTACTATACAAATCTTTGTAGTGAAATGACTTTTACCTTAACTGGAAGATTTGTGTGATTTCTCATGAACTATTGACATACCACAAACAACAGTTCATGGTAACGTGAGCTGTTGAGACACCAGAAGTTTTAAATGCTGCTTCAAAATCATTAGTATCATTCCCAAAAGGCATTTGTGGTGTACCTGTGTTACTACATACTGTGATCCCTGACATGGTCACATGTAGAAGGAAACACCTTTTGTTGGGACAGTTCGTGTTCTGAAGCGCCTTCAGGAACCTTCACGAAGTGTGTCGTAATTATACATGGACATAAACCACAACAGCAGTGTCTGAGACCTACTGCATGATTTTGAAGATGGAATGGACATCTGAAGACAGTTAAATGTCTTTCTATTTGCTACAGCCAAAGAAGTGGCATCATGCAGCACTACACTTAACTGATCTGTTTCTATAAACTATTATTAGATCAAAATTGAACAATTAGGAAAAAAACCCCAAACTGAACCACAACAGGCATTTAGAGATGTTAAGTATTCCATTACTAATTTTAGGTTGGAGATCTTTTTAGCTAATAGCATGTCTACTTTTGAGGAAACATGGAACAGAAGCAGCCTATTTACAGAAATGTCACATTTAGTGCTTCAGAATGAAAACTTGTGCAAGAAACTTACAGAATTTAGTTTACAGAATTCAGTATTTGATATATTTGGTTGATCATGTACATTTTGATATAAAGTAGCATTTCTGTCTAGGGAATTATTGGTACTAGAAAACCTCTCAGGGGGCCTAATCACTGAGCAAAGTTACATTGTAGTACTGAAATGACTTTTTGTAAAACATTCAAAGATTCAAGGATAGAAAGTTATGTGAGAGAGTTATACATTAGCTTCATTAGTTTACAGTACGAACATGATTCTAACAAAATTTCCTTTCCTTATGAAGAGTTCAAATGGCTTTTAATTGCCAGAGCTATAGCTTTCTTTCGGACTGAGATGGGCACTCCTGTCTTTTTAAAAATCTATTTCAGGACTGAAAAAAGATAAGTTAGTTAAAAATGGATGAATACAGAGGACAGTATAAAGGTGAAATGGATAAGAAAGTTAATATAAAGTGACAATGTGACTTACGCATAAAACATTTTTTTTTCAAACAGCATTTTTAATCAAAATCTAGTGCTACCAAGTATGCTCAGATTATTTCAAGTGAAATAATATTAGGTCATTGAAAAAGGAAACTTGAAAGACTTTCTTTAAATTCTGCCCTTAGAAGTACCTACACAGCTTACAAAGGCAGAATTGTGGAGCTGTTCCATGGCAACACAGCAAAACTTCCCAGTAAGTCAGGAAAAGAAATCAACGTGTCTAAGTTCAGGAACGAGTTACAGCAGTGGCGAAGAGTCTTTTTTCCTCTGTGGTAGAATAAAGATGATATGTCAGCTAGGAGTCCTGTCTGGAGGAGGTTTCATTCAAAGTGAAAACACCACCAAATCATATTTCCCTGCAGGCTTTCTCCCTCAAGTGTTATCCTCACTAGGATCTGTTTGGTAACCCAGTACAGTTTGTGCTAAATGGCACTTTCTAAAATCTTTGTCATGATGTGGGCCTTTGTGAAACTGAACAAACACAGTCTAACAGCACAGCTGGAATTCTTGTCCTTTTACACCCTGAGTTTATTTGTTATGAAAGGTGCTACCTAAACATTTCTCACTGGTATCTCTGGATCAATGGTCCCCACATAAGGTTGCCTCTCCTCAGGCAAAGGCTTCACAGGAGCAGCTGAGGGGAAAGGATGGCAGTAGCTGAGAGCCAGTCTCCCATTAGCAATCTTGCACAAGGCTCTACGTTGCCCTGTTGCATCCTTGCACCTTTGCATGAGTATTCCAGTTACCCTGTTATGAATTGGGGTTGCAATAGCGCTTTGACAGGTCTGGGAGGGAACAGTCAGGGGTACAGTAAGGAGAAGAAGAGAAGCAACATAACCTCATACACTATTGGAAGCTTATAACCTAAATTTTTCCCTCTCTCAGAACTGTTCTGACATATCTAGGTGGTATAATGAGACCTCTGCTTCAGCTAGTCTCTTTAGGGTCATCTATTGTGAGGAAAAAGAAGGTATCAGCCCAAACCAACTAACCTGCCATGTCAGATTTCTTTTCAGGAAAATATCCAAGATTCATTATATATTAAAAAATGTCATGGCTCTTGGCTGGAATAGTATAAATACCAGAAATAATTTTGGATCCTGGCTGCAATGAAATCAGAGGTTTTCATGCCATGACACTAATTGACAATCAAGATTTTACCTCTGGTTACTGAAAAACACTTAACTTTAATTAATTTTTCTCTACCTACGATACTAATTTTGAATGAGATGTACAAAATTGAAGATTTAATGAAACTATTTTACAAGGGAAAATTAAGTAGTGAAGATTTTAAAGGAAAGATGTTTATCATATGTGAGAAATATAAGAGAAATCTATTACTGGGTTAGCTTAGAAAGAACAAAGGGTTACTTGAGCCTAATTAATATCTTGTAATCTCATCAATGTATATAAATATCTCAAAGGCATGTGTCTAGACCCTTTTCAGTGATGCTCAAAGGTAGAATAAGGAGTAATGGACATAAACTAAAGTTCAAGAAGCTCCACCTCAACATGAGGAAAACTCAGTGGCAGAGCACTGGAACAAGCTTCCCAGGGAGGCTATGGAGTCTCTGTCTGGGAACATTCAAAACCCACCTGGATGCATTCCATTTTAACCTGTTGTAGGTGACTCTGCCTTGGCAGGAGAGTTGGACTAGATGATCTCCAGAGGTCCCTTTTAACCCTAACAATTCTGTGATTCTGTAAATCCCGAGATATTTTGAAGACAGAAGCTATACTGTAGAGATTCCTCTTGGAATGGATACCTACACCTGAGCATTGAACATGTCTATCTGTCATACACAGAACCACAGAATCAATTAGGTTGGAAAAGACCTCTGAAATCATTGAGTCCAATGATGTACCATGTCAACTAGACTATGGCACTAAGTGCCACATTCGCTTTTTCCTTAAACACCTCCAGGGACGGTGACTCCACCACCTCCCTGGGCAGCCCATTCCAATGCCCAATCACTCTTCCTGTGAAGAACTTCTTCCTAGTGTCCAATCTAAACCTCCCCTGGTGCAGCTTAAAGCTGTGTCTTCTTGTCCTATTGCTATTCGCCTGGGAGAAGAGACCAATCCCCAGCTGGCTACAACCTCCTTTCAGGTAGTTGTAGAGTCTCCTCTGAGACTCCTCCAGCCTCGCCTCACAGGACTTGTGCTCTGAGTCCCTTCACTAGCCTCATTGCCCTTCTTTGGACATGATCCAGCACCTCAATGTCCTTCCTATATTGAGGGGCCCAGAACTGGACACAGTACTTGAGGTGTGGCCTCACCAGTGCCAAATAAAGGGGAAGAATCCCTGGTCCTGCTGGACACACTATTCCTGATAGAGGCCAAGATGCTATTGGCCTTCTAGGCTACCTGGGAACACTGCTGGCTCATGTTCAGCTTCCCGTTAATCAGAACTCCACGGTCCCATTCTGCCTGGCCACTGTCCAGCAGCCTGTAGCGCTGCATGGGATTGTGGCCAAAGTGCAGGACCCGGCACTTGGTCTTGTTGAACCTCATCCTGTTGGATTCAGCCCATCTATCCAGCCTGCCCAGGTCTCTCTGCAGAGCCCTCCTGCTTTCCAGCAGATCAACACTCCCGCCCAACTTGGAGTCATCTGGAAATTTGCTAATGGTAGACTTGATCCCCTCATCCAAATCATCAATAATGATATTAGCAGGACTGGACCAAACACTGATCCCTGGGGGACACAACTAGTGACTGGCCGCCAACATTTAAGTAGCTAAAACAGAGTTTGGTTTTAAGAAATTAAATAAGACATTGCTTCAGTACACATTTGTCCCATCAACTTTTGTGGAACTTCAGCACAAGCTTTAAAGCTCAACAAGAATTTGAGAGCTATTTTGAATAAAGAACCTTAAACTGATGGTTTAAAACTTGGAAGAGGAAGTATGTTTATATTTTGCTTGAGCCAATCAGTAGTTAATGAATGTCAATTTGCTGACAACA